TTTGGTTTGCATGGGGAGAGAGTTTTTCTCGTAGCTGTTGATGACCACACGGGGTTCATGTTGGCGTACCCTTCACGTTCAAAGTCGAGTGGCGACAGCGCTAAAGCCTTGCGCCACTTCATTGGTCGTCGCAATGCCGTTGAGCTTCACAGTGATAATTCGCTTGAGCTTGAGGCTGCAGCGGATGAGCTAAAGCTCGTCCACCCTACGACAATTCCATACCGACACACTTCAATCATCAATAGAAGGATTCGGACCTTAGAGGACGTTTCCCGATGTGCTTTGTGCCAGGCTGGTCAAGTTAAGAGCTTATGGCCACTTGCCGTCCAGTACGCAGCAACCGCGTTATCCCTTGGAGAACCTTGGGAGGCATTGCATGGCGCACCGTTCTCTGGAAACAAGTTCCCTTTCGGTTCCTTGGTGTACTTTAGGCCCCAAGCCAAAGTCACTAAGAAGGTTGAGTTAAAGACTGTAGCCGGGATCTTTGTTGGTTGGAGGGTTGAGCCGGGATGTGGTTTTAAGAAAGCCTACAAAGTTCTTTCGCTGGAGCAGGTCAAAGACCTGTTGCTGGGAAAGGTTGAGGTAACCCCTCAAACGGCCATGACTGTCTACCAGGATGAGGTCCGCTATCCACTAGCGGAACTAAAAGACAAGGGTGAACTCAGGTTAAACCTCCAAGAGATGACCCTGGATCCTGAGGACTACCCCGTAGATGAAACCATCGAGGGGAGAGTCATGAGCCTCACCATCCCAGAACACCCAGCTGAGAGTAAAGCCTTGACAGGTAATTTCCGAATCACCGAAGCACGTGTTCTTAAGCACGGGCCCACTCCTGAATGCAACGCTTGCGAAGGATTGCCAGTTGAGCATTCTAAGGAATGTCGGGATAGATTCGCTACTTTGTTGGCCGAGAAACTGCATGAATTTCCAGATGGAGTGGACCGCAACCATGACTCGTGGGTGTTAGAGGGCGAGACACTGACTAGGTATCATGTGCAGCAAAGGAAGCACTTGTTTACGCCTAAAAAGGTTAAAGGTATCCCAATTCCGCCTGAAAACCTCCTACCTCACAGAGAAACGTTCCTCACCTACGAAACTGGTGAGAAGCAAGAAGTGATAAGCGAGGATTGGCATGCCGAAGACGGGACCAAACCCATGACTGCAATGTGGACTGGTAAAACCGTGTTCTTCCTCAAAGACCCTGTCCCTGCTGCATCCGTGAAACCGGAGGCTACAACGGCGGCCGCAGGAACTGCTGCCCCGCTGAATGCAGCCCGTGCAGCGGTAACGCGCCGGGATACAAGTTCGGAATCAGGGGGGTGTTCTATCAGTCAAGACAAGTTGTCAGGTTATGGAAGGTTCTACGAATTCTGCCGTACGCCCAGTTCCAACTTGAGTGTTGTTGGCGAGTCTCTCGGACTCTCGTACGTCCGCCTTGCACATGAGCATGCAAGCATGCTTGACACGAATAATGTCAACCAGTTGTTGCAGCAACTCGCGGAGAGTGAAGGTGTAGACCTGTGGGGTTCACTTCCTTGCTTACCTTGGAGCCATTGGAATCGGCTGAATAGTTGGCGCCTTGGTCCAAAGTCCCGCACCAGACTCACGTGCAAGCAAGATGAGTCCAGAAGGTTGGTGAGAGTTTTCATTCTTGCTGCAAGGATCGTTCTGCGGAATCATGGTCGGGTTCACTTCGAATGGCCGGAAACATGTGCAGGTTGGCAGCTTGACGAGCTCCAAGGTTTCATTCATGAAGCCGGATTGCACCTTTGCACCACCAACGCGAATGCCTTTGGATCTACCGGCAAAAGGTCGTGGACGATCGCCACGTCCTGCAAAAGACTTGCCGAAGCCATCAACCTCAAGAGAAGTATGAGTGACAAGACAAGTCATCATATCTCCGATCTTGAGTCTCGCATTGCAAGCTCCGCGCGATATCCACTGCCCATGTGTTCGCTTGTTATGCAGCATTTGTTTCCGGACAAGTTCCACGCGTCAGTTCCGGCCATGCCTTGTCACACCTTTGTCCAGCATGAACATGTCAACAAAGAGGTACCGATGCCTCACGTGTTTAGCGCAATCCATCAACTCATTGAGCGCCGAGAATGGATCAAAGATCCAGCTGCGCTAGCAGAGGCTAAGAAGGAGGCCGAAGGATTGATAGCAGAAGGGACTTGGAATTACGACGAAGTGATTCCTCGAAGTGAACTTGTTGCAGAAGCTAGAGAAAGCGGAAAGAAAATACACATAGGACAGTTGATGACAATCATGTCTTGGAAACATGCGGAAAATCCTGACTTGAAGAAACTGAAAGCCAGAATAGTGTTTCGTGGAGACAATGTGAGAGACGAATGTGGAGAGTACGCCATCTTCCAAGAGATCCGAGTTACGCCCACTGCAATCAGCGGTGTAAACTTGAATCTCATGTACGGGTGCCTTAAAGATCACATGACAACCCAGTCAGACGTGATCAAAGCCTATGTTCAAAGTTGGCTCCAAACTCAGCATCCCACTTTCGTTGAGCTTCCGCCAGAACTAGTGCCGCCGCAGTTCGCACACATCCATCGTCCATGTGTAAGACTGTACAAAAGCTTGTACGGGCACCCCGAATCGGGAGGGCACTGGGCGAGGAAATTTGCTTCTGTCGCAAAGGCCCTAGGAGGGGTTGAATCGTCCACGCATCCAAGCTCCTTCTGGTTTGCAAAAGAACGACTACTCCTAACCTTGTACGTTGACGACATGATTGTCAGCGGACCAAGTGATCAGCACAAAGGGTTTTGGAACAAAATGAAGACGATGTTAAACATCGAGGACCCCACTCCGGTTTCAAGGGTATTAGGTAGGGAGCATCTTGTAAACAGGAGCCTCGCAGAGACTTCAGTAGAGTACGACATGAGCGACTTTGCAGAGTCTGCTTGTGAAACGTACCTGAAGCTCGCAGGAGGCATCGCCTTAAAGCATGCCCCCACGCCTTTTCTGGTAGACTCCGCGCTCCCTGAACAGGGTTGGCAAGTAAAAGGAGCTCTATCAGAACACGCCGCCAAGGTACTCATGAAGTGCCTTTGGCTTGCCCGCTTGTCACGCCCTGACCTCCTCCGTCCAATTACGGAGTTGAGCCGACGCATAACGCGCTGGTCGTCCAACGACGACCGCAAATTGTACAGGCTAATGTGCTACATATCCTCTAGTAAAAGCTACCGGATGAGAAGCTACATAGGGGATTCTACCGATAAGCTTGAACTGGTCCTCTACACCGATGCGGATCATGGAGGTTCAATAGAGCACGGGTATAGCACATCAGGGGGGCTGTTGGCAGTGCAAGGGCCACGGAGTTGGTTTCCGATCAGTTGGCTTTCGAAACGTCAGACTGCTGTAAGCAGAAGCACGACAGAAGCCGAAGCAATTAGCTTAGCTACAGGTCTGTTTGACGAGGGTCTCCCAAACCAAGAGTTCCTCTCGCGAATTCTGGGGCGCAGTGTCTTATTGCGTTGCAAGCAAGACAATACTGCGACCATACAGGTCATCCGTAATGGCTACTCCCCGCGCCTACGACACGTGAGCAAAACTCATAAAATCGACCTAAACGGTCTTTATGATGCTTTCCGTGAGGCCGACACAGTGTTGGAGCATGTCAGGACCGATGCTCAAGCAGCAGATGTGTTCACCAAAAGCCTTCCAGGGCCTAAATGGTTGCCAGCTCTGCGAATGCTTGGCATCAACCCAGCCGCCCAACCTGTGCAGCGGTGACGCGCCAGGATAGGTGATTTTTCCCCTAAGTGGTTGCATGTCAGCACCCAAGCACAGAAGCACCGCTGGAGCTTCGTGAGCACTTTGACCATTGGGATGATGTGCTCCGATGTTCGCGTTGCTGGAATCAGAAGAGCCCGATTCCTGGGTGAATTTATGTAGGTCTTAGGTCCCTTGTAAACTTTCATTGTGACTGTAGGGCTGTCAAACAGCGATGCTTTTGTACAGACTCCCAAGGCGCCCCGAAATACACGGGAGCATGCAAATCCATCGCCACCTTGTAGCCGTAGCAATACAGCTACACTTTGCAAACTGGTGATCTGTAAAGTAGGCTCTTAACCGATGGTGACTCGCCTAAGGGGGGAGCAGAAATCACCAGGGACACACGGTAGGATGGCATGCACTTGTACAGATGTGCATGCTAACTACAACATTTGGCTCAAGATAAAAAGGTGCCCTTGTGAGTTGGGGTTTCCTTTGTCTTGATTGCTTCAATAAGCACGGCTAAAACTGATTCTAACGGAATCTTTGTCCGGAGCTGCGACCTACAATCGCCCAAGCCGAGTTTTAGTGTGGTTTAGTGTGCGGGTTGCTTCTGTTGATATCTCATTTCGGGGTTCAGGGGGTTCGAGAGCCCTTGCACACTGCGGTGTCGGCCAGTATGGTGTCTGAGCGGTGGATTGCGCATGAAAGAAGCCAAAGGCTTTTGCTGTCGCCATTTTCTGCCAGCTGGTACCCAAAGACGAGGAAGGCTCGACACGAGGCAACAAATGCACCGGAGGTTCTGTGCCTTTCAGAGCAAGCTGTGCTGAATCACGCCCATGCCGACGCTTCCGTCAGCTGCCAAAATAAAAATGGTTCTGGGAAACGCATGGCCGCAGCCGAAACATCATGTGTTTCAAGTGTGCCTATATCCAAGACCCGAACCCAACATCGGACACCCCACGGCTTCAAGCAGAAACTCCTTGAGCTCGTAGTCATAGACCCACGTGCGCACCCATCGTACGCTTCTATTGCAGCCCGGTTCTTACCCAAAGCCCCAGCCTTCCACAGCAGCTTTGGGTCCCCCGCACGACACCCATGCCATGGTCTTCCGATCCTCTTCATGGGCCCTGCGGCCTTTTGCCAAAATTCATTGTGTACTTGTTCGCATGTTGCATGGGAAATTTTGCTGAGGAACCTGCTGGGAAAGAAGGCCCAGGGGAGGTAGAGAACACTGTCGCAATTCCCCCCCGTCACAGAGACTCGCATAGGAGAGTGCGCCCAAGCCGCCAAAGCGCAGCAGCACACCCCGCAGGCAAATCACGGGGGAGAGCAGGGAGGGCTAGAAGTGAACCTGTTTTCTCGTGCGAGGGATGGCACTCCTTCCGGGTTTCGCATCATCGTGCCGGACTACTGCCGGCCCGGCCAGGTCATTTGTGTTCAGGCCCGGGCAAGAACAGACAGAGTCCGGAGCTCTTTCAAGTTGTTTCCTGCTGACAGGGGCCAGATGGACAGCAAGTGGAGGTGACGGTGCCGATGGGGGTGGGCCCCGGACAACCCATGTGGGTGCAGGCCAGGCGGAGCCACTTTCGGCCAGACAGGCCAAGTCCGATGGGCCCATTCGCAGGTCCAGCCACGTGCCAGTCCTACCGCGGCGGCCGGCGCGGCCCAGAGCAGCGAGGAGAGGGAAAGTCCACTCTGCAATGCTGTACATGAAAGTACTTGCAAGCCGTAAACACTCGTAGATGGTCTCTCTCAAGCCAAGCCAAACCAAACCAGTTTTAAAGCTGCCCCCGCGTATGCTCTGTACCATCACTGGTAAAAAAACTACATGCTCACGCCCTGCCGGAAGCCCGTTTTGAAGGGTTGCAGAAGTTGCTGCTCGTTCACCTTGCAGTTACATTACGACTTCCTTGCGGGCTTGCGATGCTCTCTTCAAGACGCTGCACATGATGCTGTGACACAATATATGTCTTCTGGGTCTTGTCGTCTCGGACAAGCTATTGCAGCAGTCGCTATTGCAGTAGTCAGTCAACAGTTGCACAGCATGAAGCTTCATGTCGTGTGGTCGTTTGTGCTGGGCCAGAATGCAGAACGGCCCCTAGCCATCTGATCTGGAGATCTCAATGTTCGCATAGAGTGGCTGCTGTTGCGTTCACCTTTCCGACTGTGATTTTTATTGTCACCCTTATGCTGTTTGGCTGGTCGCGGTGATTCATACTAGTATGATTTACCGTACGTTTCCTATGGCTACAACAGCAACAATGAAATATCCCTTATTTGCTACGATTAGGGCGATTACTGTTGCTACTTCTATTATCGTTATGATGATGCGAACTACTAGGTGCGCGGCGCATTGGCGCCCGTGTCACGGGAAGCACTTCCGGTAATGTTTACGTGCTGCAAACACTGGCAGGGGCGATACATTCGGAGTTCAGGGAGTTTCAAGGCTGCAAAAGGGCTCATCTCAACTCGCAAGTAGTTTGTGTCGTTGTCTCTCTTCGGCTTTCTGCGGCAGCAACTGCACATCTTCTTTTGTCGGACTGCGTTGCACCCCTCGACGCAGAAACTGCTGTTGCGAAAGCAAAGTTGAAGATTTGCATCTTCGCTGCGCACAGTGGGCCCTTGTATTTAGCGAGGTACATATAGATATACATTATAGACATGCATAGAGATTAGCAGAAGGAAACATCGTTCGTAACATAAAACTGTTAGTCAAGATTTTAAGACAGCATTCCAAGCAAGATGTTGTAGAAGTGCAAGCCGAACAACTGAAGCAGCTGCTATTGGCAAAGTGGTCATTTCTCAGTAGGAAATGCCTATATAGTCAGAAACACGAGAACTTAGGAAGCAACGCTGCGACCTGAACGTTATTAACCCCCCCCCCCCCCACCCCCCCACCCCCCCCCATCCCCCCTACCCCCCCCCCCGAGTGTGGCTTAAACCGGGTCTATTTGGCAGCTGGATGTGTGTGTATTGGCAGGACTCCACGCGCCAGCTGCCAAATAGACCCCATGTGGTGTTCCAGCGCGCCTGGACCCCGGGAATTAAATAATTTAAATCCGGGGGCCTCCCCCGTATTTAAATTATTTAATTGGGGCCAGGAATTAAATAACTTAAATAATTTAAATAATTTAAATAATTTAAATCCTGGGGGAGGGGGGTCCGGGGAGGGGCGGGGCCATGAATTAAATAATTTAAATAATTTAAATCCGGGGGAATCTGCCGGGGCCGGGAATTAAATAATTTAAATAATTTAAATAATTTAAATCCTGGGGGAGGGGGGTCTGGGGGAGGGGCGGGGCCGGGAATTAAATAATTTAAATAATTTAAATACGGGGGCCTCGCCCGTATTTAAATTATTTAATTCCCGCGGGGGGGTCCGGACCCGCCCGCCCCGGACCCCCTCCCTCAGGATTTAAATTATTTAAATTATTTAAATTATTTAAATTATTTAAATTATTTAATTGGGGCCGGGAATTAAATAATTTAAATAATTTAAATCCGGAGGCCTCGCCCGTATTTAAATTATTTAATTGGGGCCGGGAATTAAATAATTTAAATAATTTAAATCCGGGGGCCTCCCCCGTATTTAAATTATTTAATTGGGGCCGGGAATTAAATAATTTAAATAATTTAAATAATTTAAATAATTTAAATCCTGGGGGAGGGGGGTCTGGGGGAGGGGCGGGGCCGGGAATTAAATAATTTAAATAATTTAAATCCGGGGGCCTCGCCCGTATTTAAATTATTTAATTCCCGCGGGGGGGTCCGGACCCGCCCGCCCCGGACCCCCTCCCTCAGGATTTAAATTATTTAAATTATTTAAATTATTTAAATTATTTAAATTATTTAATTGGGGCCGGGAATTAAATAATTTAAATAATTTAAATCCGGAGGCCTCGCCCGTATTTAAATTATTTAATTGGGGCCGGGAATTAAATAATTTAAATAATTTAAATCCGGGGGCCTCCCCCGTATTTAAATTATTTAATTGGGGCCGGGAATTAAATAATTTAAATAATTTAAATAATTTAAATAATTTAAATAATTTAAATCCTGGGGGAGGGGGGTCTGGGGGAGGGGCGGGGCCGGGAATTAAATAATTTAAATAATTTAAATCCGGGGGCCTCGCCCGTATTTAAATTATTTAATTCCCGCGGGGGGGTCCGGACCCGCCCGCCCCGGACCCCCTCCCTCAGGATTTAAATTATTTAAATTATTTAAATTATTTAAATTATTTAAATTATTTAATTGGGGCCGGGAATTAAATAATTTAAATAATTTAAATCCGGAGGCCTCGCCCGTATTTAAATTATTTAATTGGGGCCGGGAATTAAATAATTTAAATAATTTCAATCCGGGGGCCTCCCCCGTATTTAAATTATTTAATTGGGGCCGGGAATTAAATAATTTAAATAATTAAATAATTTAAATAATTTAAATAATTTAAATAATTTAAATCCTGGGGGAGGGGGGTCTGGGGGAGGGGCGGGGCCGGGAATTAAATAATTTAAATAATTTAAATCCGGGGGCCTCGCCCGTATTTAAATTATTTAATTCCCGCGGGGGGGTCCGGACCCGCCCGCCCCGGACCCCCTCCCTCAGGATTTAAATTATTTAAATTATTTAAATTATTTAAATTATTTAAATTATTTAATTGGGGCCGGGAATTAAATAATTTAAATAATTTAAATCCGGAGGCCTCGCCCGTATTTAAATTATTTAATTGGGGCCGGGAATTAAATAATTTAAATAATTTAAATCCGGGGGCCTCCCCCGTATTTAAATTATTTAATTGGGGCCGGGAATTAAATAATTTAAATAATTTAAATAATTTAAATAATTTAAATAATTTAAATCCTGGGGGAGGGGGGTCTGGGGGAGGGGCGGGGCCGGGAATTAAATAATTTAAATAATTTAAATCCGGGGGCCTCGCCCGTATTTAAATTATTTAATTCCCGCGGGGGGGTCCGGACCCGCCCGCCCCACCCCCTCCCTCAGGATTTAAATTGTTTAAATTATGTAAATTATTTAAACTATTTAAATTATTTAAATTATTTAATTGGGGCCGGGAATTAAACCCTCCCACCACCCTCTCACCCACCACTTCAAGGGCTAGGGATCCCACACATCTGCGGGCAAAATCTGGCGGAAGTGATCCGCCACCGAGCAAAAAGCCTGTAAATACCGCATTCAACAAAGGGCCAGGGATTTCACACATCTGTTGGCAAAATCTGGCGGAAGTGAGCAGTCGGTACTTCCGCCAGATTTTGCCAACAGATGTGTGAAATCCCTGGCCCTTTGTTTAATGCGGTATTTACAGGCTTTTTGCTCGGTGGCGGATCACTTCCGCCAGATTTTGCCCGCAGATGTGTGAGATCCCTGGCCGTTGTTTTAACGCGGTATTTACAGGCGTTCTGCTCGGTCGCGGCTCGCAGGGATGAGGGGGACACCCCTTGCGCTCTGTGGTTTTCTGATCTGAGTTTTCACAAGACCTTAGGGGGACACCACTTGCGATCTATGATTTTGGGATCTGAGTTCTTACACAACCTTCCCTCCACCTCCTGCCCACGCTACCTCCCAGACACCCTCCCACCACCCTCTCACCCACCACTTCAAGGGCTAGGGATCCCACACATCTGCGGGCAAAATCTGGCGGAAGTGATCCGCCACCGAGCAAAAAGCCCGTAAATACCGCATTAAACAAAGGGCCAGGGATTTCGCACATCTGTTGGCAAAATCTGGCGGAAGTACCGACTGCTCACTTCCGCCAGATTTTGCCAACAGATGTGTGAAATCCCTGGCCCTTTGTTGAATGCGGTATTTACAAGCTTTTTGCTCGGTGGCGGATCACTTCCGCCAGATTTTGCGCGAGATGTGTGGGGTCCCTGGCCGTTGTTTTTAACGCGGTATTTACAGGCTTTCTGCTCGGTCGCGGCTCGCAGGGATTAGGAGGACACCCCTTGCGATTTGTGATTTTGGAACTTATTTGTTATAACAACCTTTAGGGGGACACCACTTGCGATCTGTGGTTTTCGGTTCTGAGTTTTCACAAAACCTTGGGGAGACACCCCTTGCGATCTGTGATTTCGGGATCTGAGTTCTTACAAAACCTTGGGGGGGACACCGCTTGCGATTTGTGGTGTTGGAATTCTTTTGTTATAAAAAGCTTTAGGGAGACACCCCTTGCGATTTATTGTTTTGGAACTTGTTGTTTCAACGAACCCTTAGGGGGACACCCCTTGCGATCTGGGTTTTGGGATCTGAGTCTGTACAAATCTTGGGGCGACACCCTTGTGATCTGTGATTTTCTCTGTGTTTTTTGCAGAACTTCAAGGAAAAAAAATCTTGCCGACGCAGGGGTAGATGGAGCTCTCTTGTCTTTCGTGAAGTTGAAGGGGCCTGTCTGCTGTGCTGAGATGGACCTCTCTCCCGTCTCATTACATGGGAGGAAGCTCTCAATCATTTCTTGTGGAGGATGAAGTAGAAGACTTTTCTTTTTGGAAGCAAGGGGAGCCCTGGCTTCTCTTGCTAGGAGCGAAGTCTCTTCAATCTTCTTAAGATAAAAGCGACTTACCAAGAGGTAAAGGCTCTCTCTGCTGAAATAAAGCTCTCGTCGCTTACCAAGAATAACTTGGAGTGAGCTCTCTTCCTGCTTCACAGCAGGGTAAGGTAGAG